ATATATATATATATATATATATATATATATATATATATATATATATATATATATATATATATATATATCGAATTAAATTTCGGTAGAGTAACTACGTAAATCTCATGTATTGAGATACACAATAGTCAAATGGTTAAAAGAAGATTCTAGAAATGCAATCGAGCAGTTCATAATGTGTTTTATCTCATGGTGGAGAGAGAGAGAGAGAGAGAACATTATCATTTACCATGTCTAGGTAATTTAGTTTAGGGTCTGAGACAAGGATTTTTGTAGTGAAAGACCTCATGTAAATTGTATGAATATTAATTATAACGATAATAAAAAAATTATTTTTTAATTTCTATTTTAAAAAGATAAATTTTCTATATGAAAGGAGGAACGTAGAGATACTGTTTATACGCCGAAAGGGCACAAACGACATCCCATTTTGAAATTTTAGCAATTGGTTTTAAAATTGTGAATATATTTATAAATTAATTGAGAAATTACTTTTGTTTTATAAAGGATCTTTGAATTTACCATTAAGTAGGTGGATTGCGAGTTTAGAGTAATGTGCCAACGAAAATGGGTATTACCACTAATATTAATATTTTCTACGAAAATCACAGTTCTAATTACAGGTCTCTAATTACAGTTGATACGAAAATTTGTATGAGTGAACTTGGGAATAAGAATCATATTATTGAACTCTTGCAAAAATAGATGGATTGCAAGTTTAGAATTCGGTAATGCGTCAACAAAAGTGAACATTATCACTAATTTTAACATTTTTTTAGAAAAATCATAATTCTTATTACAATTGATACAAAAATTTATATAAGTGAAGTTGAGGGGATAAAAATCATATTATTGAACTCTTATTTTTAATATTTAGAAATTCAAATATTTTTACATAGTAAATTTATTATCACATAGTCTTTGATAAACATAAATATGATAGATATGATAATTAATCATTGGTCTCCGAGGATAATAATGTTTTTTATTATTTCGATGTATTAACGGGTGCGGTTTACAATATGTCTCTCACGTGAGCGATGTTTTCTTTTTTTTCATTTTCAACAATTAGCGACGGTTTTTAATTATCACTAAATATAATTGTTTATTTTGTGACGCATTTACTGTTGCTAAAATGATTTAGCGACGGTTTTTGACTGTCACTAAATATTACGGTTTATTTTGTGACACTTTTTATCGTCGTTAAAATTTATAACTATGATTTTTAATCATCACTAAATATTACTGTTCATTTTGTAATATTTTTTAGCGTCGCTAAATAGTGACGGTGAAAAACCGTCGCTAATTGTTAAAAAAAAAAAAAAAAACATTGTTCACATGAGTAGACGGCACCATATTAACGAGCTTTTCCAAGGAAAATTGGCAAGGTCAGTTGTTGCTAAGGCAAGTACACTTTTGGGGTTGAGTGAGAAAGTGAAAAACAATTAAAAGAAAAATAGTGATATTAAGGACAGAGTGTTATATGTGAAGTGTGTATTTTGTCTTCATCAAATGAACAAAGTGTATAATCCTCCTCGTCAGTGGTAGTTAGTTTGAATAAAATTTTCAATAAGCACTTATAAGCCATAACCAAAGAAAATAAAAATGATTTCAAAATCAGATATAAAAATAAAAAATTCTAGCACAAAAATTCTAGCACAATTTGTGATCAACTTTTGCAGCTCAACTTATTCGAAAGCTCCCTCGTCTAGTTTGTCCATGAAAACTTATAATATAAGTATAACCTAACAACTTGTAAACAAAAGTTCCCTCAGCTTTCTAAGCTAATCCATATTAGGTGAAATTCATACGAGTCACAAAAGTGGACCCTTTTAGGGGCCAAGTGAGTTTCACACGATTGTAGATAAACTGAGTGTTGGAAAAGAGTGTGTTCTAGCACTTCTCCCTAGACTTAAAATTAATAAATATTTAGGAAAAAATTCATTGTTAAGTAGTATTTAGGAAAAAGATTCATCGTTATTTTTATGTAATTTGATTGACTTGACAAATTGACGAGTTTTTTCTCCAAACAATATTACCCCTTTTCAATTGATACATACTTTGCTTTTCTAAGAGTTTTTTAATGGCAAATAAAATAAATAAGGGTCATGCTAACCATGTCCTAAAACATTGATTAAAAATTTTAAATTAGAAAAATATTATTATATATTTACTTTATTGAATAAATATTAAAAAAAAATTTAAAAGATAATTGTTTATGTTTTGAGTGTATTAAATACATATATTTAAACTAAAGTAAAAAATAAATATTCTTAATCTCTTAAAAGATATTCAACTTATCTTTTTAATTTTTTAACCAGTGCTCTGAAGACACTCGTTAGCATTTTGCAATGAATAAATATAATATAAAGAATTTATCATTAAAGAGATATAAATAAATTCTCAGATCCTCCAACTAGGGCTGGCAATGAAGCAAACCAACTCGAAGATAGTTCGGAATTCGACTCGACAATTAAATCGTTGAACTAGGTTCATGAATCAAATGAGTTGAGTATGAGCGAAAAATTAAGTTCGTTAACTAAATGAGCTGAACTTGAACTATACATAGTTTGACTCGTTAGGTTCATGAGTCAACTCGATTACATATGAAAAGAATTATACTGTCTTTAAGATTAGGTTTAAATATTTACTTCAAATCTTAGACAAATTTAATCTTCAATTTAGTAGTTTTTGAATTAGACTCTCAAATGTATCTCTTGAAAGTTGTGTAGGTTTTGAATTAGTAGATTTCGAAGATAAAGTTAAATTTCAATATGATAACTTTTATATTATTCTAATATTTTATTTAAAATATATATATTTATTTAAAATGTCAAATATACTAAAAAATATATATATTTAAAAAAATAGTTTTTAAGTTCGTGAACCATGTGAGCTGAACCTAATGAGATGAACCTAACGAGTCGAACCGAACTGTTCGTGAACTTATAACGAGTCGAGTTTGAGCTTAAAAAAAAGTTCGTGTCGAACTCGAACTCGAACTCGAATTCGAACAATTCTTAACGAGTCGAGCCGAGCTGGGGTGAGTTCGACTCGACTCGACTCATTTCCAGCCCTACCTCCAACTAATATTTTAAAAACGGATCATTGGTTAACCATTGTGATAGATAGGGACAAATCTAAAAGATATAAGATTTATTAATAAGTATTGAGTATGATTCATATATATGTCGATACTAAAGAGAGGTATGAGAGTCCCTACTTATGTGATTGGTCTAAACCAGTCTTAGGTTCAACTGCTTGGTTTGAGTATGTGATTAGAGAATGTATGGAAGGTAATCTCCTCATTACGGTTCAAATATATTATTGTAGTATTGTATATATTGCTCGTAAATTGTAACCCTAATTATCGCAAACAAAAGAACTTTAGTTGCTCTATAGTCACGAAGTTAAACATCATTGATCGAACTGCATTAACATAGATCAATTGTGTTCATTGTCTTTTACTTTTGTTTCTCTTTAATCTTCTATACTGGTTGTTATTATATTAATTGTTAAACAACAACTAGTATTGAAAATTAAAGCGAAACAAAAGTAAAAGACAATAAAAATGATTGACTCAAACTTGATAAAGAGTCGAAGAAGTGTGTCTTCTCGATTACGCAAAAGGTATGAAGGAGTTCAAGTTATGGAATCTGATTAAAAAGAATTAGAAGAGGTCTTGTTTTTTATGAGAAAGTACTGTTAAAGCAGACAATTGGAACATATGTGTTAGCATTTGAAGGAGAAACTTTCAGCAAATAGACGTTTCGGGTGGATGTTGATCTGCCATCAATGAACAATATGTTGGTAGTGCCTGAACCACAAGAGGAATCAACCTTTGATATTGAAATTGACTAGACATATGGAGTTTCATGTGAAGTACATGATTATATTCTTGTACGTGATAGAGAGCATCGTTCAATCATGCCATCAGAAAGATCTGGATATGAAGACTTGGCAGCCTATGCACTTCTTACTAGTTCTGAAGACTCTTCCATCTTTCGAGATATTATAACTAATCAAGAAAAAGATAAATGGATACGTGCAATGGTGAAAGAGATGGAGTTCTTGAAAAAAAATGGATAGATGCAATGGTAAAAGAGATGGAGTCCTTAAAAAAAATAAGTGGATGGGTGCAATAAGTAGATGACATACTAGTGTGTAAATTGAAGATGTCTTTTTATAGTTTAAAGTTGTCTATATAAAATGGTACAAACACTTTGATTCATATGCATGTTTTAGATTGTTACATAAGATGTGAGAATGATTGTTCTGATTATGTTATGAGTCTTGATAATAGTTCTATTATTTTCTTATTAATGTATGTTGATGATAGGATGATTGTTGCTAATCATTTACATGCGTAAGTGAAATGAAAGTTATGTCGAAAAATATGAAAGACTTTGGTGCTGCTAAGAAGATTCTTGACATGAAAAATTAATGCTAGAAAATCATGACTCTTAAAAAAAAACTATATTAAAAAGGTGCTAGAATACATGTGATAAAATATTTGATTTCTCTTAACATATGATATGTGTTCGAGTATTCTAAATAGAACAACATTTAATAGAAACGTTTTATCTTTTTAAAAACTCAATTGACTCGACTCGACTAGTTTAAAGCAAAGATTTAAAATAAAAGAAAATGAATGATACAAACTTGAAAGAAAAAAAGAAAAGAATTAAGCTACATGCACTTAGCATTAGCATTAGCATTCTGCTCAAATTACTTAAAAAGTCTACTACTAACTACCAATAAAATACACCATTAAGTTCTTTTCTTAGAAAGTAAGCAAACCAAAAGGAAAAGAATCAGAATGAGAATGTTGAAGACAGAAGAAAAGCTCAGAAAAATCCTGAATTCGGTTGTATGTTTCTTCACATTCTCAAGAACTTGTAATATAACATCTAACACTTATAACTTTGGTGTCATATAATTTCATTTTCTATATTTGTTGAGTATCTGTTGCAGTTTCTATCATTTCATTTTTGTCTAAAAGAATGGCTGTTCCAAAAGTGAATGAAAAGTTGCTTGAAGACCTTCAAGTTATGGGATTTCCACATGCAAGAGCAACAAGAGCACTCTATTATTCTGGTTAGTTTATTCATTTCATGACAAATTGAAATTAACTTGGATAATTTACTTTGATATATTTTTCTTTACTAGGAAATACCAGCTTAGAAGATGCTATAGCTTGGATGGTTGATCATGAAAATGACACTGATATTGATGAGTTTCCATTGGTAATAACAATTAATCACTTCTATAATATTTAAAATTTTGGTTTGCATTAGTCTTAATTGTTAACGTTTTAACAGGTTGATGTAGACATTGATATCGATACTTCTCCATCATTTCCTATCACAGAAGAAATGAGAATGAAAGCTTATAGTTTAAGGTTTTGTGATCCTTCTCTCTACTATCATATCTTCTGTTTTTTCCTTTGTATTTTCTCTAAAATATTAATTTCAACTGTTGCAGGGAACAAGAGAGAAAGAGGAAAAGGAATGAAGAAACAATAATGGAAAGAGAAAGAGAAAAGGTACCTTAGTTTTATGTAATCATAAAGATAGTTGAGAATATTGTGATTTTCATTGCTATGATTTCAGGAGAGGATTCAAGATGGTAAGAAACTCCTTGAGGCGAAGCGAATCGCGGAAGAAAATGAAAGAAAACGGTATTGTAATGTTTACTAGTTGATTTATTTTAAGGAAACTAGTTCCTCAAGTTCATCGTGAATGTCTTTATCAGGAATTTAGCTTTGAGAAAAGCTGAAAAAGAAGAAGAACAAAGAGCTAGGGGTAACATTCTCAAGAAACTAGAGCAGGATAAGGTATAGAACTTATTATCAAAATCATTTTAAGTCTCTAGCTATTTTTTGATATGAAGCACTCATAAGTTCTATAGAATAGTTTATTTTCATAAGCTCTTCAGAACAGTCTTTTTATGTATTTCATATTTACAGTAGAATAGTTTATTTTCATAAGCTCTTCAGAACAGTCTTTTTATGTATTTCATATTTACAGTTAAATAGAAGGTCTAAACATGGATTACCTTTAGAAAGCCAAGAAAATGTGAGATCAACCGCCATTGTTATAAAGCATGACAAGGTATATTAACATACTTAACATTGGATTCTTAATCTTTTTCAGTTTTTTGTTGAGATTGTGTTATTTAACATTTCGACATTTCAATGGATTACTTGCAGATTCCAAGGCCTGTTTATTCGAGCACAAAAGTTGAACATTTGAGAGAGTGTTTGAGGTCTCTTAAGCGTGAACACAAGGTTAAAACACTACGCGTAATTCATCTTTTCTTTTTCTATTTTCAAAGGTTTATTTTTATCGTTATTCGAATTCTCTATAGGGTGAGAATGCAAGAGTCAGAAGAGCCTTTGAAACACTTCTAGTGTATATTGGAAATGTTGTCAAGAATCCAAATGAGGAAAAATTCAGGAAGATTAGACTGAGCAATCCATTATTTCAGGTGAGACATTTCCTTAAACATCGTGTTTGTGTTTTGTGTTTGATCATATCATAATGCATATTTGTTTTTGATCAACATAAACATGTAACATCAAGATTCAAAAGTGTTATGTGGCCATGGAAATGTGTTGTTTTAAATTCTTTTTCCTGCATTTTGTTTACAGGATAGAGTTGGGAGTTTAAACGGAGGTATGGAGTTTCTTGAGCTATGTGGTTTTGAGAGAACAGATGACTTCTTGTATCTTCCTAGTGAAAAGATTGACATGGGACTTCTAAGTTCAGCTGGTTTTGTCTTAAATTCTGCTATCACTAATCCTTTCTTTGGACTTTTGAGTACTTAACTCATTAATTCAGTCTGGAAAGTGCATTATTGCACAAGGCAACAAAGGCATGTATAACACTCTAACTGTCATTTCAATTTATTGATTATTAACCCTTATTGTTTTTGAAATTTTCTTTTACAAAACATGAGGAACTTCATTAGTTTGTCTCTTAACTGACTTAACAGGCTAGGAAGTGTTTGTATTACTTGTTTCGTCATGCTCTGCCAAACTCTCTTGTTGGTTAGTCACATTATTCATTACATTTTTTTAAATCTACCTTAAAATCCACACCATCCAAATTGAGTTCATGCATCCAAACTCCCTTGTTGGTTATTCACATTATCCATTACATTTTTTTAAGTCTACCTCAAAATCCACACCATTCAAATTAAGCTCATGCATCCATTTAATAGCTGCTAAAAAGCCTAAAACCTCCCTCATATCCAACTTGATAATAGGTTACATCCACTTCGTTCAAACTATCACAAATTGCTCCTCTTCGTCTCGTTCACAAACACCTATCCATGCCTTATTAAAAGTCGTAAAAAAAGGTACTATCCAACCGAGCAAGTTACTTGGTCAAGCGCTTTGTCATCCAAGTCCAGTGTTTCAGACACGCACGTTTCTCCTCCTCACAGATCCTCAACACCCGAACTAACTCCTAAGTCATTACTTCTCGGCTTTGGAGTAACGACTTGGGAGCTCCTATTTTGGACCGGGCCATGGGCTGACCCACCGTCGAGCACGGACTAACCCAGCTCCTCATTGGAGAGGGCCCAGTGAAGGTCCAATAGATTAGTGCACACGGGGAGCTCTCACACATCTCTCCCACGAACTCCACGTTGCCCCCACACTGGGACACGTCATCAGCAACTACCCACATCCGAAAGAACAGGTCACCCACCTTCCGAAGATCACGAGACAATTGACTCAGGGCGAAGACCATGTGCTGGTCTTCCCTACGCCACGTAAACTCTACCAATTACTCGTGTTGAGCCTTACAATCCAACTCAATGCAAAGTAATTGTTGGCCCAGCGCTGGAGACACAATATAAATACCTTCTTTCACTAAGGAGTCAGATATTCTATTCACAATCTAGCTTTTTGTATTTGTCTTTCTCTTACTTCGTTTCTCACTTTGGCATCGAAGTATCTTGCAGGTACACCTCCGTTCTCTTCTCTACCACAGGGAATTAAAAAACTTACAACGTGTCGCTAACCGCTAATCCCTTTCTAATCCAGTAAGATCAAGTTACATCAACTTCGTTCGAACTACCACAAATTGCTCCTCTTTATCTCGTGCACAAACATCTATGCATGCCTTATTAAAAGTCGTAAAAAAACGTGTCTATATTGCATTTGAGATGACCTGTTGAAAGTTTTCTCAAAGAATTAATCATAATTTGGGTTAGAACTTCTCGATTGAAATTATTGTTCATTTCTCCATCCAAAAACAAATAAGAGACACAATCACAAATTATTTCTATTGAATCTTCTATGTGGTTTCAAAAATAATTATTTCTACCTTTCTAAATATTCCAAATAATGGCCGGAAACAAAGCCTGTTAGTCTTGATTTAAATCCTATATCCTGATAGTCTTGAATTAAATCCTATAAAAGAGAAAAAAAATTATAAATATGAAAGGAATGTTATCACTCACCACCTGTTATATAATAGGCTATAACCCCACTAGCTACCAACACTCACATACTTTTTGAAAAATAGAAGACAATATAATAATCTTCTAAGTCATCTCCACAAACACCACAATAGTCCTGACATTGAACACATTGAACTCCTTTATATATCAACTGCTTACCTGTAGGCACGTAATCATAAGTAAGCGCCAGAAACTTTTTTACCATCAAGAGTTTTTAGTTTCCATGAGCTACCAAAGTACCAATTCTCACGAACCTTATTGAGTTGTATCAATAACATCTATACAGTAACAATAGAAACTACAAACTGAAAACCTATAATTCTTTTCAAATTTTCACACCATTTTGTCAACCTGAACAGTTTCTAATAAGGGTGTTTTTTAGAACTTTTTCCGCTTCTTCTACTCCAACAAGTGTATGGATCAAATTGATATTCCACTGTTGTTTCCCATCATAAACCATCAAATCAAAGAGCTTCAAATTTATCTAAAGATTTACCAGCGAGAAACTATCATACAACCAATTATCAACTACTAAATTTTTAATAACTAAAAAAAAATCTTATGCAGGGTCCCCTGTTTTAGAATTAGAAGAGTTGAATTGTGCAACTAAAATATAAGTATCTTCTTAGTGTTACACCATTCGCACTCGCACTGGAGGCATCCAAGAGAAGTTTTTAAACTATGTAAAATTGGAAAATTTCAGTTCCACTAAAGTGTCAAGTGTTTAAAGTTAAACCATGGACAAATTCAAAAGGCAAACTACTTTGTAACCCATTAATATTTAAGTACAATTAAAAGATCTAGGGGATTGAAGGATTATGCCAAATAAACTACAAAACTAACCTGATTCATGTCTAACAAATAGGGGAACTAAAACAAGATAAAGAAAACATTAAGTGACATGCAATTACATTTAGTTTTGAGATGCTAATCCATCTTCCCCCATTTGTCTGCAACTACCAGGTCCATCCACAGCTAACCACATCAATTCCAACACTAAGTGTCAGAGTTTTGACTCCAATGCTAAAAGTATCTTCTTTCTTGGCCCCTAGAACCAATAAAGCATAATTACAATGTGTTTTTAACAAAATATAAAAAAGTATCAGCAAATCAGAAGTCATATTTGAACATCAAAAATTGGGACACCATTCAGAGTCCATTTGTATTTTTTGTATGTATTGGTGTATTTTTGAAATCCATGAAAGTTTACGAGATCAAAAAGTAGGCAAGTGATAGAGATTGAGGTATAAGAGAGAGGTACACGGTGTCAAAAATTTGGTGTTCAAATAACACAACTCTTACCAAATGGATCACAGATCAAACCTAAGAGTATGTTTAGCTTATCTCAAAGCAAGGTAAATGCAATTGTGACATGAAGATATTATTGGTTAATAACTATACAGCAACAATATAAATATATAAAACACAAAATCTAATCATATTTTGACCATCTTTTCACATCATAATATTATTATATAAAACATGCTTACATCGTGACAGAGTGGTGAAGTATGATTCAATATCTATGTAGAAGTTGTTTTCACTGTTAATATATAGTTATTAAGTACAAACTATCATATCATAATCACACAAAAAACTTCTAAGAACATGGTATTATAGTCAAAAGAGAAAGAAAACACAAGTGACATTACCCTAGGATCTTCAAAATATTACTGAATAAAACAGAAGGAAATAAAATAGAACATAGAGTCCAGCACTAGATTGAAGCATACCATTGGTATACCCATGGCCTTGAGGTCCTCATCATTCATATGTTTGAGAGCTGCCATATCAACCTGAGAAAAAAAAAGTACAGGTTTTACATAGAATATTAACTCATGACAGTCAAAATAAAAACCCGGTTAAGATAATGAACTTTTTTAATGGAGAAGATAAGCAGACGTATGACATACTTCTTCAGCTTGAAAAGTTATGAGATACTTTTCGAGACCCATGGTCAGCAAAAAATCATCCACTGTAGTATCAGCCTGTAAAAATAGCAGATTAATATGCTTTTAATTTTCTTTTATTTAGTAAAGAAAATAATTTTATTAAGAAAATTGGAAAGAAGTGGCTTTTGCTTATTATGAATATAAATTAGCAAAGTTCCATCTATTAAGGAGAACATAAGAATTTATAACATAAATAAACATAAAACTTAGAAATATATATTTGACCAAAAAACAGAGAAATATATAATAAGATTGAACATAATAAAATGACCTTCAACATGCACATTAAAAGCCAAGCACCTGTAACTACTACTATCTTGATGTTGATTTGAAGGGTATTATTCATATCCACAAGTATATGAACCAGCTTTTTATTGTATACATCAGAACCAACTATATTGTGTAGATTGAATACTAGCCAAGTACTTGACTACCTTACATTTTCTTTCACGATATACGATATTTTCCAGCACAAACTCGTGATTATACAAAACTATATTTGACATAGTTTTCATTCATAGTAATTAATTCATCAATGTATTAGTTTTGACTTCTGAATTCACGACATTCTAGGAATAAGCACAATTCAGCTATTGTACTCAAATGAAGTTGGAAGGACTTATTTGAGCTAAATGCTTCAATGTTGACTCATGTATAAATCCTCACTCACAGTATATGCATACTCTGCACACTAGTAATTTTCAAGAATATTTGTACTCTCTAACAAGAATGGAGCCTTGGCATAATGGTTGGAGTTGTTGCCATGCGATTAGAAGGACAAATGTTCAAGTCCCTTGCAAATATAAGGTAAGACTACCTACAATAATTTCACAAACCATCAGACCCTTCCTTGGACCCTACATGCCAGGAGCTTATATGTACTCCATAACCAGACTCATTGCACTATACTGGCTGACCATCAATATGCCCTCTTTTATTTGGTACAACATCAATATGGCTGACCATCAATATGCCCTCTTTTATTTGGTACAACATCAATATGCCCTTTTAAACAACCACTAAACGAGAAGAAATTTAACATATTCTTTATGTTCAATTCTTAAATACAAAAATCCATGCATATCATATCACAAAAGACATGGCCAGTTTAAGGGGAATGCAACAGCACACGTACATGTAAAGGAAAAAGGGACAATGGAACATGGCATGCACTATGAGTGACATCACAAACATCAAACAATAGATTTAAATGGACACCTTAAGAAAGTTACAACAATAATACCTTCCGTGCCTTTTTAGGAGCTGGGTTAGCTGGTCTTTTGACTACAGGAGCCTCAGCACCAACACTATTACTGCTCGGTTTAGCAATCACTTTTGACTTCGGTGGATCGGAGTTCTTAGGTTGTGAATTCATTGTCCCCGATAATCTTTCGCGAAGATCTCGGATGTTTGGAGCAGTTCTTTTTCCACTCTGAGTTGCAGGTTGAAGACCTTTCCTTTGAAGCTTATGACGAAGATCTTGACTAGTTACTTTGCGATCTTCACAAGCCATTAACAAACAGTCAAAACCCATAAAAAAGAACTATTGGTATCCAATAGTGGTAACTTATACTTGCATATGAGAATAACAGAATCAATCCATACTGGTGATCTGGGGTTGTTCATCATCATCATATAGATCATGTTCCCACTTGTCATCCTGCCTTGACCTGCCCAAAAATAAAAGATATCATCATTTTTTTTATTTCAATATGCATTCAAACATCCAAGATGAACTTGCTACACAAAAGGCATAAAGTGACCAAGGCTGTTATGAGTAACCAACCAATCAAGTAGAATATACTAGACCCAACTGAAAGAGCAGTAATTCAACAGACGCGTTAACGAGATGATCAGGTAAAAAACTAACAATTTCTTCACTCTGAGAATGCAGCCCCTCTGAAAAAGAAACCTTCCAATGATTTAAATTTACCGAATGACTAACTTTTTAAGGTGGTGCGTGAACATGTCTAAGTGAAAAATAAACTGAATAAAAGAAAAAATGTTTCATATGTCTGGAATGGTTAATGACAATGGATGGAGAATAAATCTCCTTTCAACAATGGAATTTGAAAGTTATCAGAAATGATACTCGCACTGTGGGAATACCCAGTACTGATATGAGAATGGCTCTCTCTACTCAGTCCCAAATTCCACTCCAAAACAAACCTGCCTTTCCTTTGGCATGCCTTCCCTTATATGCACATTTTTTTTCTCTGACCTTGCATGCCCACTCCCTCTATCCTCTCCCATTATGCCCTACCGTCTATACACATATTTAAGAAGCCTATCACATCAGTAGTAAAGAATGAACTAGTTCATACAGCACTTAGCAACCGTGTCAGCTTGTCATTGCACTACAGTATCACCTAATAGAAGCTAATAATATCAACAGATTAGTGATAGATGCCATCATACTTATTAATATACTGAGTGAGGAAAAAATACAGTGCAACCAGTGGATTTATGGCACACATAAGCAAGAGGGTGAGGTGGAAGGGAATATGAATGGAAGATTTCATGTAATACCAAGACACTAAGTACAGGTTAGAGAAATGAGGAAGGTGTGAATGCAATGTTGCTAAATAGCAGCGCTAAAGCAAAGCAGAATTTGAACAAATCAATATTACTTAATGATGCACTAATTAGTACAAAATAATGTCAAATTGAGGCTGTAGCGGCGCTATAGCAATGCTGCACTGTTACATGCCAGAATTTGAAGAAACCATTATTTCCTGCTATACCCAATTGGCAACACTGTGTGAATGTAGTTGGATAAAAATGCTTTTAGGAAATAGCGAGTGGGATACAGAGGAGGAATGGGCTAGAGAAGAGGTATTGGGTGGATTCAGCCTTTCCAAGGAAAATTAGGCGAGGTCGGCTGTTCCTAAGACTAGTATACCTTTAGGGTTGAGTGAGAAAGTGAAAAACAAGTAAAAGAAAATTAAGATAATAAGGACAGTGTTCTCTGTAAAGTGTGTAATTTGTCTTCATCAAATGAACAAAATATATAGTCCTTTTCAGTGGAAGCTAGTTTGAATAAACTTTCAAATAAGCACTCATAAGTCATAACCAAAGAAAATAAAAGTTGAAATGATTACAAAATCAGAGTCTTGAGTCTTCTCGATAAAAAAATTCTGGCATACTTTGAGATCAGCTTCCATAGCTCAACTTATTCGAAAGCTCCCTCGTCTAGTTTCTCCATGTAAACCTAAAGCTATAAGTATAACTAGACAACTTGTAAACAAAAGTTCCCCCAGCTTCTAATTCTTTATATTTATAAGATAGCTCAGCAGCTCTGTCGAACTTCTTACATAAGCTAATCCAAACAAGGCTTTAGTTCTACAGAATATTAAATACACAGCTGATTGATCCACTCCTCAATTTGATTCTGGTGGGAGTTTAGAAGAACAGGCTTGGACTTAGAGGTGTGCTAAAAAACACTCTGGATAACTAGATGAAATTCATGAGTCATTAAAGTGGACCCTATTAGGGACCCAAGTGAATTTCACTCGATCATAGATAAACTGAGTGTTGAAAAGAGTGCAGAGTGTGTGTTTCTAGCACTTCTCCTTGGACTTAAAGTGGTTGAATATGCCTATTAAAATAACTCATGAGTTATGAGTTATGACATATCCAAATTCCAAAAGTAGTCTTTTCAATTTTTTTCAACAAGCTTTACAAAATAGGTTATCAACACTAAAGTAAACTTCCTACAAAAATGACTAAATAAGGATTTAATTAAGTTATTTACCTAAACGTGTCCTAAGTCCTTCTCTGTCATTACCTCTCTCCTCTATCCTTATTTCTATCCCACATCGAGTTCCAGCTTCTATATTTCACCAGGTCCATCCTCTATAGTTCCCCAAACTTTCCTTCCCTCTCGCCTATACACACTAGTACACTCTCTAGTCTCGTAAATTGCTGGCCACTACCTTCCACATCAACAGTTACAAGTCACAGGTGTGTAACAGGCACTATACCTCAGACAAAAGTTGATAGGGAGTCATATGATGAATAATGATGCTCTTTTGGTCAATAAGACTTGGTTTTTATTCCCTGTAACAACTGACAGAACAGAACAGCAATTGGCTATACATGAGTGTTTCAGGTTAAGGAAAACTGAGACAAATCTACCAATAAGTATAAAGCCCGTCTACTAGCTAAAGGGTTCCATCAGCAGCCAAGATTTAATAATACGGATACATTCTCTTCACCAGTAACAAACTTTAGACAACTCAGGTGATTCTCACCTTGGCCTCTCACTAATAGTTGGCCTATACACCAGCTAGATGTGAATACTGAATAATGCACAGATACCACTCCCACTTCTTTCTCCAATCATTAGAATTTAGAAAAATATTTCCAAAAGATTAAATATCAACTAAACATGTTTTTGTTAATACAACCATGGCAATGAGGTTTCAACCCAAAGCGCGCACACAATTTACTCAAGTCCATCACCCCTATCTCAATCCTAATAGCTTAACCAAACAAGTTTAGGAATATTTACCTAAAATCAACATTTCTTTCTAACCATTATATTTCTGAAACCGTAATCATATACCTTGAAATCAAAGGCTTACAAATACCATACACAGTCTAGATCCATATCCTAAGTGTTTTAATCAACAAAATCTCTATAACAGACATCACTAAAACTCCACAAAAATCTAACATTGCAAATATTAAACAACTAAACAAACTATAACCGAAACAAATTCATAGAGTGTGGCGCTCCATTTCCTAATAGCATGAACGAATGAGAACTGCACAGTGCAAACCTTTTGCCGGTGACTTGGCGTTGCTGCCGAGTAGATACACTGATGTTCCCATCAAGACGTTCCTTGACAGACCTCCTCGCTCCACTTTCCACCCGATCAGCATACATCTTCAACAATTTAGTTAGTTTTTCAAATCAAGAAAAATTAGCCCCAAATCTATGAACCCTAATTTCAAATCAGAGCTGAGATGAAATATAAAGGGAAATGCACTATTAGCGGAGAAAAAGCTGATAGGGTCGCAGAAAATCAAAAACCCTAGCAACCCCAATTTTTTGTTGTTAATCGCCAAAGAGAATGGTATCGGAGAATAAATAAAAGCGGTTTTCGAAATCGGAGTTGCAGGAAAAAGGAAAAGCTATGAATCGAACTGTAGTTTTTTTGGAGTGAGGTTTTGTGCGGAGAGAGAGAGAAATTGTGGAAGGGTTACGGGGCACTATTGGTTTTGGCGCCACACAAGAAAGAAACATGCAAACGACAGCGTTTCATGAAACTACAATTAGAAGGAAACTAATGGACTTGCTTTTTTTTTCCAACAAAATTAATTTTACCCTTTTTCTTTTATCAATTTTACTTTCTATAAGCATTTAACTTTTTTTTAAATAAAATCAAAAAAGGTGTTAGAAGGGACTATAAAAGATGCACACAAAAAAGTATCATTAAAAGTGAAAAAAACTATCAAATCAATTCTTTACAAAATCACCTTTAATTCTAATTGGGATAGAAGAATAAGAAGTCAAGAAAACTGCAGTGAGACTCAAATTAGAAAAATAATCAGCACAAAAAATTCTTTTTTTCTTTATACATGTGCGTAATAATGAGACTATTCAAAAAAGAAGAGTTAGTACCTCTCGAACCATCTATTTTGGAGGCTATTAGGAATACGGGTGGCAAAGCTAGCGGCCCGTCTCGTTTAAACTTGTTCGAATATGGGGCGAAACGGGTTAATTTAGGCGTCCGAGTTCAAAAGTCAAGTATGTCCCGTTTATTAACGGTCCGCCAACTTTTTTTACAATTTGATTTACTAAATAATTTACAAAATTGTTAATCATTAACAAAGATGCCGACAAATTTTAACAATGCATAGTAAAATTTTAACATGTCTTAATGTAAATGTCATATTCTTCACCATAAACAACACAAGATAATTATAATACCAAAAACTTAAAACAATCACACTAAAATCCCAAAAATCAAAAATTTATTATCATAATGAGAAACAAACCTCTCTATGCAAAACTTACCTTATAGCTTTAGAAGCCGACTCCAATAACAGCGAGTAATAGAAAATAGAAAAAAATGTATTCTTTATGTTTTGTAATAAAGACTTTTCCTACTATGTGTGAAAATAAAGAACGAAGTATAGACCAATTAGTGTCTTTAAAATGAGGTGTTTGGTTATGTGAAAAATGGATATTAGAGTTTGAAGAAATGAGGGTTGTTTTAAAAGTATGTCTACTACATACCATATTGTTTTAATTCAAAGTAAAAAAAATTTGTTTTAAATGAAAAGCCTCTGGGCAAAACCTGCCTCGCCCCGCCCTCGACCCCTTTTAAAAGTGGGTTAGGCTGGGCGGGCCAACTTAAGACACAGAGCCAAAAACCTCGCTTCGGTGTGTCTAAAATAGTGGGCTAAACGAGCGAGTCCGACGGACCCAGCCCGTTTTGCCACCCCTAATTAAGAATTATTCTCTGTCCCAAATTATAAGTCACTCTGCCAAAAAAAATTGTCCCAAATTATAAGTCACCTTACATTTTCAATGCAATATTAATGTGTAATTATGAGGAACATTACTGTAAAGTCATACATAATTTGTCTTTTCCATAAAATAATAATTAAATTTCTTATTTAGTGTTAAATGGTAAAGATGTCTTATAATTTGGGTTTTAATCAATTAATAAATAATTAATGATTCTATTTCTATTTTTAGTTTAAGTATATAACTTTATATATATATATATATTGAAGGGAAATGCTAACGAGTGCCCTCAGGGTATTGGTTAAGAGATTAAAATGGTAAGTTGGACATTATTTAAGAGATTGAAAATACATTTTTTTTCTAAATATATGTGTATTCAATGTCCTGAAAAGAGAAATAATCAGACTTTTTAAAGAATATTGTGTGTATTGAGTGAACTAAATATAACATATTTTTCTTATTTGGAATTCTTAACTAGTGCCCTGAGGGCACCGGTTAACATGACCCATATATATATAATACATTCATCCTAAATAGAAATAACAATTGAATGAATTAACGAGAACTCGAAAAAAATATATTAATTTATAACAATATATAAAGGCAACAGAATTTTTGGTGTAGCCTATTTTTTTCCTCTTTTACCCTTCAAAACTACTTAGAGTTGCACAAATAAATAATAACTCTTCACTCCATTTTATATTTGAACTAACCAAAATAATCAAAAACATCTAAATCAAAATAATCAACTTCCCCTATTTAATCCAATTAAAATAATAGATATTACTATAACATCTAAACCATGCAATCATCAAAAACAAAAGAAAATTAAGAAAATAAAAGAGAGAAGCCAAGGAAGAAAAAAAAAGACAAAGCAGATTGTGGACAAAGAGAACTATGGAAATTACTATTGATTTTCAGTAATTACCATCATTTAAAAGAAAAAATGATTGTTACATATCAAAAAAGAAGACATTGCAAACGGTGAACAAAGAAATATGATTTTTAGTAATCGCCGTCATTTAACAAAAAAGATGGTTGTTACATATCGAAAATGAAGGATGAGTAAGTATAATGGTTTCATGTTATTTCATCATGTCATTTCTTCTTATTATACGTAGTTTGTGTAAGAAAGAAATAAGAACACATTGCAAACTACATACAATAATGGTTTCATGTTATTTCATATTTTATGTAGTTTGTGTAAGAAAAGATGGTTGTTACGTTATAATATCTTATCTCTTCTTTTTATTTAATTATGTTATTTCATGTAGTTTATCTTCTATTCATCAAAAATAGAGAAAAAGAGTGTTGTTGCAACAGATAGGGGAAGTAAACAAAAATAGATTAAAAAATAAGAAAGAATAGTGCATTACGTTGCCAGAAGTTTGAGTAAACGAAACAATAATGTTTCCTATTGTCGTTTAATAGAGAACGTTCGTGAATTTGTATTCTTTTTAAAATAGTTTACTCTTAGATATTAAATTTTGGTCTGTGTTTTAGTTTTTTTGAATAACTCTCACCTAAATTGCATTGAAACTTTTGTCCAATTCTCTTTGTGATTTTGTCCAATAAATTATAAATCATGGGGTTATTTTTTAATGTAGAAGTTACGGAATAATTTTAAAAGAATATTTGAACGGATATAGACATAAAATATATATATTCCAACTTCTATTACAAGAATATATATATTTTATTTTTTTTCTCTCACTCATTCTCCGTAATTATCTAAGAATCATATATTTATTCAAACTTCCCTTAAATATTTTCCCTCTTTTTCTCCTATTTATTCTTTATCAATATTGTCACGTTAATGATTTGTTATCATTCATATAGTAAAAGAAAAAAAAAATCATTTCTTACATTTAGATGAGAAAAATGAAGCAAAAGTGCTCCTGTATAGAAACATTGATACCCTTGTTCTTCTTTTCTACTTTTTTTAAATTTATTTATTAATTTAAATTTATTATTTGGATACATGTAAATTTAATTTAATTTAGATAAAAATATTTATGCTATATAATTTTATTTTGTGCAGGCATCTTGAAATGTCATAAATCATCATAAAGCTTCATGAAAAGCATTTGCTGGTGGGTATTATTTATTTCTCTATGATTTTTGGTTTCTTATTATTTTTCAAAATTTTATTTTGAAATGTGTGTTCATTAATGTTTTTAAATTCTTGTTCTTTAATGTTTTTTGCATGAGGATATAATGCACATCACATACACATGAAAACAATTAAACTTTTCTAAAACAACGGACATCGTGACATCACGATTCACGACCCACCCATACCTAAACCACTCTTATTCATCTTTTCTCTCAACATTCAACAACATCAGAAAAAACATCAAAAATTTAATTGAAAAAACAAAAATGATAAACAAAGAAAAGGCATGTCACCACCATCCAACATTGCATCCATGTATTACACGTTTTCATGATTGAAAGTTTTGTTTAAAAAAATAAAATCCACATCATGTTTTTTCTCAACTGTTGTTATAACTTCCCGTATCTATTACTAAAAATTGCTACATCTCTTTATCGTTTTTTCAACACTCCATCTATTGGTTATTAATTTAAATGATGCTTTCCTCTCTAAAATTCAGAGTCTATGGTTATCATAATGCTAAAATGACTGCTTTGAACGGGGTAGGGTGTATGAAACAAAGGAAAAAAATTAAATTAACAATTAAAAGTTAATATTTTTGAAATTATTAAAATTGAATTAACAATTAAATATTGTTGGTTAAAAGTGAATTGCATTATGTCATACCACGACACATTCAATTTTGTACACGACACATTCATTTTTGTATTATAATTTTTTTAAATATTACATTTAATTTTATAGATAAAATAATATAATGGAAAATATTCGTAGTCAAGATTTAAGAGAATGTCAAAGAGAATGACGAGTACAAAATGCAAGAGATCAAAGACAGCGGATGAGTGTCGAGCAAAGACAACAAGAATTAGATAGAAGGCGTTCGGATTACAGACAAAATAAAGACAAAGGAAAACAAGTTCAAACATCTAATACTTCTAATATGAGAACCAAGACGCCATTTCAAGACCTGACGAATGTCAATCTTGCTTCTCGATTTTATCCAAGGGCACATTACAGTGAAGTTGGACCAAGTACCACACATGTCCATCCCTGGGTTAGAAACTTTAATTTATGTTATAGATTATACTTTAATACATTATATTTAAAAAAAGATCAATTAATTATGCAAAAGTAATTGTCTGGTCTATTAATTCAAAACTAATTTACAGATCAAAATTTTACATACCCAATTTTCCCACAAACTGATAACAACGAAGCAAGACCATTTATAAGAAATATTGATGACAATGATTGTGGTAAGTATAATTCAGCCAATAATCAAATTGATAGTAAT